TATATATATATATATATATATATATATATATATATATATATATATATATTTTCTATATTATTTATTCTTATATATCTCTTTATTTATCAACTAAACCCTTCTTCCTCTATTCTTATATATCTCTTATTTAACCACTTAAGCCTTCTTTATCTATTTTTATCTACCTCTTCTTTATCCACTGAACCCTTCTTTATCTTTTGTTATCTATTGTTTATCCACTTAATCCATCTTTATCTATTATATATCTCATTCATCCACCAACCCTTCTTTATCTATTGTTATATATCTAAATTATCCACTGAACCCTTCTTATCTATTGTATATCTTTATTTATCCACTGAACCCTTCCTTATCTATCATATATCTTTTATTTCTATTATTTATCCCTTATCTCTTCTTTATCTCCCCAGGAAGACGTCCTGAACCACGACAGCTACACCTGCAGCGACCCGACCCACGGTTCCACTGTACCGTTCCCGACCCGACGTGTGGGGAGCGAGTACTGTGGGTGGGGACTGTCCAAGACGGTTCCTGCTCTGGAGGTGAACCAGACCAAGTGTCCATACGTGTGCCGTCCCAAAGACCACAAAGATTGGGATTCTTGTTAAGGGCTTGGTGCAAGTCTTGGTGTTTGTGAGGCATTTGGTTTAGTCTTGGTATTTCTGAGATACTTGGTTTAGTCTTGGTTCTCTGAGAACTTGGGAGACACCTGGTATCTCTGAGACTTCTCTAGTTAAATGGTTACATTTTTTTTTTTTTGGGGGGGGGAGGGGGTTCCTATTTAATGCCGTTTTAATTATCAAAATTGGGTTTCTTGTTAGATCTCGAGGGGAAGGATGCTCTGTTCATTCCTGGTTTAGACTTTAGGTTTCCTCAAGACATCTGGTTAAGTGGCTTTCACGTCAAGGATTAGGATTATACTTTTCTTGGTTAAAGTGTGTCAAGACTGACGTTCAATTCTTTTACTATCTATTTATATATTTTTTCATGTTTAATAAACTTTCCCATTGCCAGCGAAGATATTAGCATAATTTGGCCAAAACTCCTCTAGTCCCTGGAACGTCTTAAATCTGGGCTTCCAAACGTCTGTAAGTTATTGAAATATTCTTCAGATTATTTTACTAATTGCCTTTGATACTCTTGATATCATCATCATTTAATCCAATAATATTCTCTTATATAATGAAACTACTTCGGAGGCTGAATATGCTTGCAATAGAACATAATACACATGACAATAAATCAGTAACAACATTACTTGGAGCTGGAGGAAAATACATCACTTCAGAGTTTAAAAAAACGTTGAATAATAATAATAAAAAAAACTAATCATAACGACAATAATATCAAGGTCAATTATAGATTCATCGTATGCTTGTACATGTCACTGTAGTATTTCTGTAAAGTAGAGAGTTGGGTGAATTTTGGTATGTTTGTCATTTACACAGTATTCTGCTAATAGAATGATGTGACAGTAAGAAAATGAGAGATGATAAATGATATAGTAATGATGAAATATGTTATGAGGAAAAAGAAATATTATTATGATAATAAGGAAATATTATGATCAGAAAATGTATAATAGGGAAATATAACATAATGATAAGAAAATATGACATAATGAAAATGAAATATAATATGCTCTCTCTCTCTCTCTTCTTTCTCTCTCTCTCTCTCTCTCTCTCTCAATCTCTCTCTCTCTCTCTCTCTCTCTCTCTTCTCTCTCTCTCTCTCTCTCTCTTCTCTCTCTCTCTCTCTCTCTCTCTCTCTCCTCTCTCCTCTCTCTCTCTCTCTCTCAATCTCTCTCTCTTCTCTCTTTCTCCTCAATCTCTCTCTCTCTCTCTCTCTCTCTCTCTCTCTCTCTCTCTCTCTCTCTCTCTCTCTCTCTCTCTCTCTCTCTCTCTCTCTCTCTCTCTCTCTCTCTCTCTCTCTCTCTCTCTCTCTCTCTCTCTCTCTCTCTCTCTCTCTCTCTCTCGTAGATAAAGAAATACACAATGACAAACATAATGATATTACACAATAACAAGTAAATTGTTCAAAATTAATAGGTCATTCATGCAACTTATCTCATCACCTAAATGTTCCACTTTGGAATTATGTGTAAACCACTAATTAATATTTTTTCCTATGAACAATTTGCCACAATCACCTCTACTGCTACCGCTTGTAACAGTTAGTGATATAATGGTTATATGAATTGTAACAATTGCACTATTAGCAGCAAGAATGATCAGAGTAACACTAACAACAAAATAATAACAATAACAACAACAGCACCTCTATTACCATGGGATAATACAACTACATCTACAACTACTACTACTACTACTACATTTTTCATTACATAAACAGTATATACTTATACACACATGCATACACACACACACACACACACACACACACACACACACACACACACACACACACACACACACACACACACACACACACACACACACACACACAGACACACACACACACAACAAACACACACACACCA